TAACCGAACGATCAAGGAGTGGCTTGCGACCAAAGGAGGTGACTGGGGAATGAACTTGCCGATGGTGTTGTTAGCTCATCGTGCTTCCACGCAGTCAACCACAGGCAAGACCCCGTTTATGCTAATGTACGTTTGACATCCGCGCCTTCCGGTTGATCAGAAAATTGGGTTGTGGCCGGCAACACGCTTGTCTCCGGAGGAGCTAGAGGAAGAAGGAAAGAGCTCGAGAAAATTTGACCGCCGTTCAGAAAGGACTAGGCAGAAAACGGTAAGTAGAAAGGTCCGAAATTTCCCTATAGGCACGAAGGTCAAGTGGAAGGATCATCAGAATCCTGGAAGGAGTGGATTTGGGTCGCGGAAGCTGGGCAGTCGATGGCAAGGGCCGTTTGTGGTCACCGACTGCCGTGGGAACGTCCATACCATTCAAGATGGTCGGCGATCGAAAGTGGTGAATGGGACGCAGCTTCGCAAGTGGCATGATATACCTGAAGAGCGGCCGAGTGGACCCGCAGGCGAAGCCGACCTGGCGGAGGTAAATGAAAATCGAAGGCCTGCGAACGAGCTTTAAGGGATGGAGGTGTGTAACGCTGATACTACTGATGGGGAGGCACGCGAATAGTATGTGTTGTTCGTGAAATTTCGCTTTACGTCAATTGAAAAAGGGATATCTGTTGCGGAATTCGTGGGGCCACTTTGTAACATTTGCTTGGATTTGACCGACGAATGAGTGGAGTCAAGAAATCTCCAGTAAAGTTCAAGAAGCCTCTTTCGGGAGGAGATGGGTGTCCAGTTTTTTAGCTAAGATGCAGATTAGAGGTTTGCTTCCCTGTTCAATGGTCTGTAACCGGTCAGTTGGCATTTCCGAATAAATGACTCCGCAGCGAAGCCTTCTTCCCTTCATTTCGATGGCGTGACCAGGATAAGGATGAAGATCCCGTGGCCGCAACCCTTTGAGGATAGGGATGTTCGGACCTTCCTGGAGGACTTTGAGGAGGTTGCGGAGGCTTCGGGCCGGAGGCCGACAAGGGTAAGTTGGCAGCGCCGAAGACCCTCCTCAGATGGCAGGCGCGGGCGTCCCTGGATGTGACCAGAAGAGTCCCTCAGAAGATGGACTGGGCCGCCGATACGGAAGACCTTGCAGCGGAGTTCGACACGCCGGCCGACCGCCAAGAGGCTATGAGGCGGTTCATGAGGGCCGGGATAGTGCCTGGATCTGACCCGACGCTGTTCTTCGCCGGCCTGCAGCAGTCGTTGGATCGGGCTTTGTCGGGACTGGGCGGAGTGTCTCGCGACCAACTGCTTTCCGACCAGTTCGTCGAAGGTGTGCAGCCGGGGCTTAGTGCCCAGTTGCGGTTATCATGAGCAACTGGTTACTTGAGTGTGGAGGAGCTGGTGCGTCTGGCCCGCGAGCTGCCCGAGGCACCACTGACGACGTTGCAGTCGCAGGAGAACAGGAATGGTTCATCAGTGGAGGAACTGCAGACCGGAGTGGACCAACTCACCGAACAGCTGGCAGCGGTGAAGACGGAATCGCGGATGCACGCTCGAATCAGCCGGCGCTACATGTGTGACAAGCCTGGCTACTGGAAGAATCAGTGTCCCCGTACCCGATCACATGAACACAATAAAACTTTAGAGTACTCCTCTTTTCCTGGATGGGAGAGAGAGAGAGCTGTGTGAGCTGTGTGTGAGAGCTGTGTGTGAATATCGACTGAAGATTGACGGATTGTCAGTGCACTTGGTATGCCTAGGCGACAAGTCCGTGCAGCACGTGTTCCTTATCAGCCGAGACATAGAACAGACAATATTGGGGGCAGATTTTCTCAGGGGCACAGGTTCCGTGATTGACCTAAAGCAGGGAAGGCTGGTGACAAGGTATGGCTCAATCAAGCTTGGAAGTTATCCAAGCGCTGCCGTCAGTAAGCTGCGTGTCCGAAAACTTCCGTCTTGTAACGTACCGTCAGTACGGTCCGTGATCGAGGAATATTCCGAACTGTTCACGGGCGATGAGGATCCATTAGGCTTCTGCCCGGGGGTTGAACACGAAATTCCCCTGTCGTCAGAACGCTTTCGACCTTATGGCCCTCCTCCGTTGCCGCTCCATCTACGGGAGGAGGTCCATAAACAAATTCAAGAGATGTTAAAGAATGGCATAATCAAAGAAGCCAGTAGTGCGTACAATTTTTCAGTTGTCCTTGTAAGAAAGGCGAACGGAAAATACGGGTTTTGCGTGGATTTCCGGCGTTTGAATGAACTGAACGTAAATCGGGTTGTGGCTGTGCCTTCAGTTGCGGAGATTTTCGATTCCCTCTACCATTCCCGATATTTCACTGTGTTCGACTTGCGTTCCGGATATTAGCAACTATCTATCAAGGCGGAGGACCGGGAGAAAACGGTGTTCACGATTGGGAACACCTACTATAAATTTAGACGAATGCCGTTTGGATTGTATGGGGCACCATTCACATTCCGGCGCTTGATGGCTCGTTTAACGAAGGGACTGCAGAATGTTGCCGCGTACATACACGATATCGTTGTGTACAGCAACTCGGAATCCCAGCACGCAGTTCACTTGAAGGGTGTATTGAAGCGGATCCGAAAGGCTGGCCTGCGGATAAATGAAACCAAGACACAGGTCGCTCGGAGTTCGGTGACACTGCTGGGGCATAAAGTGCGTCACGGAGAAGTTAGCCCACTACCCGAAAAATTGGCAAAGTTCAAGGATTGTGCCCTTCTTAATTCAAAGCGGTCTCTACGGCAGTTTCTTGGACGAACAGCATACTACAGCCGGCTTTTTGAGGATTTCAATACAATCGCTGCGCCACTGTACGATTTGCTCGGTCAAAATCGGAAATTCGAATGGACCGGAGAAGCACATGAAGCTTTTGAGCGTGACAAGGCTTGGATGTTGGGTCAGCAACTGACCCTCAAACTGCCCATGTTCGGAGAGATGTTCATTGTTGCAACGGGTGCCAGTGATCGCGGTAGCGGCGCAATCATAAAGGGTAAGAATGAAGTTATCTAATATGCCACTCCTTCCTGACTAACGCTGAACAGAAGTACTCCACCATCGAGAAGAAATGTTTAGCGATAGTCTAGGCCCTGGATAAGTGGAGACCACATCTGCTTGGGCGAAGGTTTCATGTCGAAACCGATCACAACCCCCTGGAGTGGATCAGGACCACCAGAGATCCTCGCGGGACGATTGCACGCTGGGCGCTTCGGTTGCAAGAGTACGACTTCACAATCCAGCACGTCCCCGGGAAGGAGAATTACTTGGCTGATTGGTTGTCAAGACCAGAGCCTGAAGATGAGGTCCCCAAGATCATGATTGGAGCCAATGGCCTCGTCGTCGAACTGGATCCCGGAAAGTTGGTGCAACTCCAACGCCAGGATCCGGTGTTACAAAAGACTTCAGCCGCCTTGTTGGATGAAAGGAACGGAGAGGGAGACAAGGAATTAGAAGCATTCCAGCGTCACTTTGATCGGCTAAGGCTGAATAAAGCTGGCATAATTTCCTGGAACGCCACCAATTCGGATGTTGTGCTACCCTTGATACTGTAGCGTGGGATGTCGGGAAGTCAGCGGTATTCGACGTTCGAGAGGACGGCACACGTCAGTTCTGAAATGTGCAGATATACGGACTGGTATTAATGAATCCACACAGTACACACAGCACACATGCGCACAGGTCGGGTGGTACAGGGAAGAAGACCAGAGTGTACCAACAACGCACGTGTATTAACCCGAACCGAAACCGGAAGAAGAAGAGGGTGTACACAAACACCTTCTGAGCACTGAGGACAGTGCTCGGACTCGGGAGGGGGCAATGTAACGCAGTTGAAACTCGACTGTATCTGTATGCACGTCTATCACATGAGCTTATGTGTCTCTCCCCTCCCTCTCTCCCTGTTGCAG